GGAACTGTTAGGATTATTGACCCCTGAGACCTAAGCCCAAAGGTTAAAATTGAGTTGGTTTAGGACAGTCACAAGTTAGAATATATTTGTAAGCCAGAATAATCAAAATAGCAAACAACCACACAAGCTCATTATAAATAAAGGGATGAGAACCGCAAACTCTTTAAAATAGTTGAGGAGAGAAATCCTCAATCCTGGGGCAGATCTAAAACATTCAAAGCATAAGAAGTCTTCACTGTTACACTAGATATGTGCTCAGAATTCAGTTACCGCTAACATGGAAAGTAGCCAAACAAAGGCAGAGATAAAACAAAATGCCAAGATATTTTACAGTGTTTCAAACAGAAGGTGATAGATATTCAATAGCCTGTCAAAAGCAAATAACAGCCTCCCTTTGCTCTGAGACTGTGATCTACACAAGGAAGTAGATGAAAAAACACAATAAGGCTGCACAAACACAGCAGAAGACATGCTGCTTTGATGATTTATGTATGAAAGACAAAAAAAAATAATAATTTGACTGAAGGATAAATGTAACAGTAGACGCTTGATCAGCCACAGCAGACTAAACAAAAACCAGCACCTCAGAAGCAGTTTTGTGAAAGTCAGGATCCTGCTCTAACATTTCTTTCCAGACCAAATGTTTTAGGATTAAGTTAGACATAGGAAACTGAACACAACAGAACCTGAGCTTGAGCCATGGAAACCTCAGAGTCATCTCTGTTGGCTTTTCACAATCATCCACTCTAGAGACATTCACTTGTGAGTTAACCTAACATGCTGCGATGCAGCGATTGCATCATCTCTTAGGGCAGACAGCACCCTCTGACTTAGAAAAGCCAGGCATCTGTGTTCCAGGTTTAGTAGATTTCTATCAATAAGAAGGAACGGCAGACTTGGCCTTGTATTCTATACCAGGATTGAGTGCAGGGCTGACTTTAAATATTGGCAATTAAAAATGTATGCTCAAACATTTTTTAAAAGAAATTCAAATCAATCAAGAGGAAAAACCTTTAAGGCAATCAGTAAAGAATACAATTTGGGTACTTTCAGAGATCTGATGATAAATTTAAAATAATGAAATCTGTTCAAGGTTATGGAGCTTGAAATAATTTTCACAATTTCACAGTAGCAGAAAAGCACAGTTAGGTTAGCTAAATTGAGCAGAATTCTAGTTGAAAATTGTGTTTCATTAAAATGCTTGTTCTTGATTCAGCTAGCAGATCTCTCCTGGGTCCGGGATAACTGTCTTCAGTTTGCATCCTGAAAACACTTACTTTTCTAATTAGGTGGTGAGTGGCATTTGAAGTTAACCTATTCAAATGTCAGAAAGGCTGTTAGTAGTCATGCCTGCTAATATATATAGTTCAGACATTCTTAAAAGTTATAATTCAGTTCAAGGCCAACGTGGTCTAAAAGTGAGTTCCAGGATAGCCAGGGATATTCTACAGAGAAACCCTGTCTCAAAAAAACCAAAAACCAACCCCCATGCCCCCCCAAAAGGTTATAATTCTTCCAATAAACCAACCCTGGGATCTGAAAATCCAAAAGAGACTTTGTTTCAAGTGCATATAGCAATTATCCACATATTTATGAGTTCCAAGAACACGATCTAGGTTCCCTTTCCAGGTGAGTTAAAGGAGAATTTCTAGAAAAGCCAAGAACTTTAAATTAAATTAGGCTGAAAGAACTTGAAATTAAATTTTGAACGTAAGCTCCAGGATATGCCTGGGTTTTGGAGACTGAAGGCCACTGGTTATGGTGCAATTGGGTTACAGAGGAGCATTAAAGCATGTTGCTTTTAGCAGAACAGATGAAATGGAAACCAATGTGTGATTATGTAAAAATGAAATATTATTAAGTATAATAAATTATTATAGAAAAGAAATAAAATGCTGTGGGTATAAGTAAATAGCTTACCGTTGGCATTTCTTATGTTCAAATCAAACATAAGTGCCTTCTAATTGTTAAGAAGAATCAATTTTATAAAGCCATCAGTGAAAGGGAGTCTCCTACATCAATTCCCATCGCTACTCTGCCCCGCTGAACTCGAGTAACCATTTTGTTTGTTTGTTTTCATTCTGTTTCTAGTTTCCTTTTTGTGGGTATTGAAACTGGGGTCTCTATTTATGCTAGACATTCTAACCTCCTGTATTACTTTAAAGATTTTTATGCTATTATTTTTAATTATGCATATAAATGTATGGGTGTCCAGAGTGACCAGAGGTAGCAGATACCCTGGAGCTGGCTTTAAAAACACTTTTGAGTCTGCTGAGGTGAGGTTTAGGAACTTAACTCTGATCTTCCTAAGTGCTTTTTGTTGATTCGTTGTGCTAGGGCTCAAACCCAAGGCTTTTAGGAAGTCTATCAAGCTCTGTCTACAGCCAAACATTCTTAGAAGTGACACACTTGATTAGGCTTGGAATCATCTATGGTAACTGTACTTGAAACAATCAGAGGCATGGAAAATGTTCATACATTTGTGATATTTTGGATTCTGATGGCTCCCTGTTTATCAATTATCTATCTACAATCTGAAACTGCAGCAACTCATTGTCAAGTGTACTTCAAATTTTTTATTATGTGGTTTATTTAAATCCACCCCACCATCATAATCTATTTCTAATGCATAGCTTAAGAACGTATTTTGTTGTGTGATTCTTCAATGCTTTAAACAAAACTAAGATGTTGCTGGGGAGAATTGGTAACATATTAGAGATATCATTTCAATGTGCATTGTACAAAATATTAATTATGTGAGAGACTGTTTGTAAGACAATTTTGTAGTCGAATACTGGAGAATTGCCAGACAGAATATCTTCCCTCATTTTGAAGATCCTTTGGAGAGCATATTCACTGAAGTAAAGAAGTTGCTTAAGAATCGTCCACTACTGTCAGCTGCAGGCCTGCAGAAAGACTTCACATAGCGAGCAGCCAGAAGAAATGACTGAATGGTTGCATGAGTGAACCAAGGTTGTAAAGAATTCTTCACTGAAGAAACTTATTGATTGTCTACTCAGAGAATCTTATACCAATTAATGAAAGATTACAGTAATCCTTTTTTTCCTATTAACAATATAGAATCTCTTGAACAAACAAGCAAACAAGCAGAAAAATGAAGAAAAATAAAACAAACATGAAACTTCTACCTATATTAAGAATTTTGTTATCACAAATATAAGAGAAAATCCAGAAGTTTCTAGGGAATGCCTCCGCCCCCTTTTTTTAAAAGTTAAGAATTCTTTTAATACAATCTTTTCTCATTTTATATAGCATATCTCCATTTCCACTCCCTCCTCTCCTCCTGTTCCTCCCTTCCTCTCTCCCCAACCCCCCATCCACTCCTCAGAAAGAATAAGACATCCCATGAGAGTTAACAAAGTCTGACTCTTCACTTGGAGGCCAGGCCAAGGCCCTCCCCCAGCCCAAGAGAGGGAGGAATGATAATATGAGCAAAGAGGTCAAGACCACAATGGTGATACTCACAGAAACAGCTGACCTGAGCTAGTGAGAGCTCACTGACTCTGGACTGATAGAGGGGAACCTGCATAAGACCAAACTAGGCCCACTGAGTGTGGGGGACAGTTTTGAGACTTGGGCAGTCTGTGAGGTCACTGGCAGTGGGACCAAAATTTATCCAGAGTGCTTGAACTGGAGTCTTGGATTTCCTTCTTTACATAGAGAAGATTTCAGAAGCAGTGTGAATGAACACCCCACTTCATAGAATACAGTGTCTCCTCATTCTCAATATTAGGACTTAGGATCAAAAGATACTTATCAGCAACACTCTCTGGGAAATCTTGTATTGGAGAATTGCTAATATCTTTTGAAACCTATGATTTTAGTTTGTACAACTGTAATTCACAATGGCCATTTGTAAATGTTTCCATTTACTGATTTAATGCAATAATGTATAAGAACACTATAGGCAAATAGGAAAGAGTGGACAGCTGATATAAAGACACTTATAGAAAAATCAACCTATTTTTCTTTTAGATAGACTGGTGTAAACTCCAGAGATGTGCACATTAATCTGAGAATGCACAGACTGTTGATTATTTAATGCTGATTGAGTAACAACTATTTTCTACAATGACAAGTGAAAGAGCCTCAAATGTATCACCTATCTATCAACCATTTTCTTCCCCACCCCATCACTTTTTGTTGTTGTTATTTTGAGACAAGCTCTTCTTACTTATCAGAAACTGATCTTTAACTCATGATCATATTTCTTCAGTCTCATGAGTGAGTTTCAGCTAGTAAACCATACGAAAATACAGAAGTAACCCATGCATTGACCATGACATTGTCAAAGATTTTTCATGTCTTAGAAACTACTAGCAAGTAGCAATCCTTTCTTGAATGAAACAAATAATATCTCACTAATTTTTTATTAATTCCTACCATAAACATGAGCAAATATAATTTAATAAAATATATTTTAAAACATAATTAGTATTTTTCATCGTATTACCTAAAAACTCTTTTCTTTAAAATTTCAAGTACCAGTATAGATATTTCTAAGTTTTCTTAGAAAAACTTTGCTGGTTTTAAGATGTTCTTTTGAATATTTAAATTTTGTCCTTTGCATCACAGAACAGATGAAAAGATCTAGCATAATATATTTGCATGCTTACCGACCTACTTTTTAATTGTATATGAAAAGCAACCAACCATAAATTTCAGAGGAAAAAAAAAACTTGCACAGATAACTTCACACACTGCCCTAAGGGCAAGGGCAAGAAAACGCAACAATACCTGTGGATGACTGTGTGACCTCATAGAGTGGTGAGGCCATGCACTTGCATAGACAAACACAAGGATTAGGATTTCCTTTTCTTTCTTTACCCAACCCACTGAATTCTTCACATGTTAAACACCAATCAGAGTGAAATCTAACCCTCTTCTGTCTTTGGAATCCCACATGCCCTTTTAGCCTATGAAAATGAATACAATGAATCAGGGTCTACGATTTACAGAAGAAAGGGATGCACTCATACCTCCGTTATCTTTGAGATGCAGTGCTATCTTGGTGTCATCTGAAAGAAAAGGGGACAGAAAAAGATTACAACAGAAAAAGATTTCAAAGATGCACACATCTCTTCCTTGGCAACTGTCTTAACTCAAACACTTGGATTTTATACTTTAGAGACTAATTTCTAGCTCAGTGGGAAAACAGGATCCAACTTTACATGGTATAGCAATAAAATTTATCTCAGAGATGGTGTAGGCTAAAATATTAGTAACACATCTGAGCCTCGATTCTGTGAGAATGATAAAAAATATAGTTATAGGATGAAATAGATTTTTAACTTTCTAAAACAACTTACAATAGGACTTTATTTGAAATCAAGACTGAGACCATTATAAAGTAAGAGGAATAATTAGGATTTATCAATAGTTAAAGATTTATCTCAATTTGTATCAGTAATGAATAATTTATATCTGAATGGCTAAACATGGGGCATAATGTTCCATTTCAAAAGTTATATTTGACTATGAAAGTTAGAGTTTCAATTAAAGCACGTTTTTCACAGTCTTTAGAATAATGACCCCAAATAATTTGAATTTAAGTATATGTTTCTTTTAAGAGAAACACAATGCAGTTGGCATTTGCCCTCCACCTCTCTGTTCCACTTACTTTATAACACCCACTTAAATTTCAATCAAGAGCTAAGGCTTAAAAATTTACTTCTTATTCCAAAGAAAGCAACACTTACTACAATAAGACATGAAACTATGTTCTCCCCTAAAGAAATAGTCTCCCCCCTACTCCTTATTATATCATATAGAATAGAAAGTTATCAAATAATGACTATTATATTTTCTCCACACATGAATTTTACCTAGGCATTAGCACTTTAGTAGTTCCTTCTTCTCCATAAAAGGAGTTACCCTTCAAGAACAACTTTGTGTTCAGTGTCTCTGTGATTGACTGCATTCAGGAAACACCACTGCATAACTGTATGTGAGTAAAGTGATCTATTGTTCAGAATTTCATAGCAATAGTTATTTATGTGCATATTTCTTTTGATTAATGTATCAGGATTGTAGTTTGATGACTACTAAATTTAGCCACATGAAAAGAAGTGAATTTTTCTTTTCTAAGGGGAAAAAAAGAAGCCAGATTATGGATAATCGCTAAGGTTTAACAAGAGAAACAGTATATATAAAGAATGCAGCATGTTTTTTGCTCATGGTAACTCTGAATCTGAAAAATTCTTTGAGAAATTAATTATCCAAATAATATTTTTTTCTCCAGTAATCAGGTGTTACACAGCAATCTTTTTTTTCCTATAAAAACAAGCAAACAATCTTGTGGGCACCTTCCGTGGGCAGGCTGGTGGGCAGCTGGGATGTCACGGCTCTCCTGGTGGTGGTCAGGACCCTGAATTGCGTGGTGGTTGTGTGTGAGGTTGTGGTGGTTTGAGAACTCTCCGCTGGCTCTGCGCTCTCACACATCTTCTCCTTTGACTGGTAGGAGACACGGAAGTGAAAATCAGCAGACTGAACACATTTTGTCTTTTAAATTTACATCAACGAAATCGGACTTAAACTACAAAACATCTCAAATTGATGTCAAGAGTAAATTATTTTTGTGCCAGACTCTTCATAGATTTTGTTAATTTATGAAGTATATAAGATAAGAGAGTGGGAGGATGTAACAAAATACACACATCTGCAGATATTTGGAGTCACCACTTTACCTGTGTTTAACCCTCTGTATCATTCTTTATCTTGCCTTTTTTAATTTTATAGAAATATCTATGAAATATGTGGTATCAAAAGATAAAATAGTTAAAGTTAGAAGAAGAGCATGTACCTATAGAAAAGGTTTCACACCTCTTTGGATCTACAGAGCAACAATGTTATATCTTAAACATTCCCTCTTTGCTCTAGGCTATTTTACAACCTCAAAATTAATCTTTTCCAGGTTGAGTAAAAATTTTAAATTTTGTTTTCTCTCATGAAATATCCAAAACCACATAGATAAATCTTTCATTTAAACACAATCTAATTCTTCTTAGCAGGGCTCTATAGAAGATACCAGAAGAAACAGATTTCATTTTCTTTTAAAATTTATAACCTACAAAAATAAATCCCAGTTTTCTCTATTAAGGACTCTTATTCTAGAGCTAGAAGTTGATGTTGTGAACAACCTCTTTTTGTTTCAAAGATTTCATTGCTCTGATAAAAGGTGGCTGCTCTAAATATGGGCAGTACTCATGACATATTTGAAAATTTTTAGTAAGTAACTGTCTTGTCATGAATGGAGAATAAAGAATCTTTCCACCAGTGAATGTAGAGTTTTTATAAAGCTGCTTTATTAGTCAGATATACAATAAGTTTAAGTTTATTCTTTGCACAGATTACTCAGCTTAATCCCTTTAGCTTTGACTCCTCCCCAGCTATAATCCATAATTTCTGATATTCAGATAGAAATCTCTAGAACTGTTCTCAAAGCTCGTGTATCTTACTTCTTTCCATATGTACTTTACACTGAGATTCTTCTCCCTTGAATATACAATAATTGCTCTGTTTTAACGTCCTTTCATCTATCACCACCACCTAACTCTTCAGTACCTTCAGGTATCACATATTTTAATCACCTTTTTGGAAAATACCCTATTCTGCACAAAGCAAGAATACTTCTTAGCCTTGCCCATGCCAAAGGCAGGCAAGACGTAACAGTCAACCCCAAACTCCACAAACTAATCAGCATTCTCACTCAGAAAATCAACAGTGCCTGGAAATGGTTTGGCATATGGATAATCATATGTTCAAAGGCCGTGGTACCAGTTCACTCTACTTAACAACAGCAATCCCAGAGTAATTCTCCCTGTTCTGCCCTGGTTTCACCTTTCATTTCCTTGATGAAAGAGGCCATCAGTAGGATTTTTTTACAAATCAAACTTGTTTCTGCCTGAGCATATCCCCCTTCCTTCTATTCCAGAGGACAGCTATCATGCCTCATATTTTTTCCAGCTGCATTCAATTCAGTTCACTCCCTTGGGTTTTGTGAACTTGGTATTTGGATAATTTTTTTTCTTTTCAACATCAGTCAAGTGTAATTCTCTGATGACTTGTTACTCTAACATAAGGTAAGTATGCCTAATCTTCCACTCTATCTAGACCCCCACTGCTCCACCATACATCCTGGCACTGAATTATTCTACTTTTCCATCCAGTCATATTCAGACTTCCTAGGCATTTGGTTTACCTTGATCATCTCAAACTCTTAGTTTCTCCACTTAACTACAATCTTACTGCTCCATGTCTAACTCGGAATTTTTCCTATTGTGTTTCCGTATATCTTCATATTTACGAAATCTCCCAACCTACGGGTAATCCACATTAGTGAACACAGATGCCCACTCTCGGGTTCTGTGATGCTCATCTTCTGACTCCTCTCTTACAGCTCCCGTGCTTCCTTCTTATTCTACCTCCCTTTAGCTGTGCAATTTTTATGTCTATTTCTTGACCTTCACTTTCCCTCTGTGTTTTCTTATGCACTTCCATCTCTATACCCAGAGTTTCATTTAACATCTTGATATTGAATGTTTACTAATCTGCATCTCAAGTTGACCTTCTTCTCTTGAAAGCCAAGCTCAAACATTCATCTGTTGAAAAGACATATGCAGGTGGATGTCCCAGACATCTTAAAATAAAGAAGTCTAGGATCTATTGGTCTCACTGAGTTAATAAACAATCCTGTGTTTAAGGTAAAATCTTGGATTTGGTTTGCTTTTGCATTTACAAAAGAAGAAGGCTGTGTGTATAATGTAAATTTCAAAAGAGTATTAGAAATTTCACAAAATAAAGAAAATCTCTAAACACGTTTCTTTATTCCCTTTCTATCATTCCTCCCCAGATAAAACCCTATCTGCTCAAAGAGAACAAAATACATTAAGTAACACTTAAAACTCAAATATAAAAGCAGAGTTGGCCCAGAGGAACAAATGCTAATACCAATGTTGCTTAAAGGAGACCAACCTTACATCAGCAGTAGATAGCATGAGCTAGATTTGGTGAACTTGTGTACTTAACTGTGAGTAAAGGACTGCTTACCACACAAAGCTAGTGGTGTGGATAATTTAATTGTAGAAAAGAGGAACCATGGATTATTACAGAATGCATCAGATTCTGACCTTTAGTACCATCACAGTCTAGAGAGCATGGTAAATTATCCACCACTGTACCCAGGACACTTTTCTCTGCCTTGTAAGGCTTATAGGGAGAATACTTTGGAGCAAGAAAGCTAAAATATCTGGATCATATTCTGAACTTTTACACAATTATGAACATTCATTTCAAGTATCTTTTTGAGAAAACTGTGGTTACATGAATGTGTCTCATATGAGCTTGGTACACAAGCTAGAGTTATCTGAAAGGAGGGAACCTCAGTTGAGGAAATGCCTTTATAAGATCTGCTGTAGGGCATTTTCTTATTTATGAGTGGTGATAGGTGGGAGAGGGTCCAGATCGTTGCAGGTGATGCCATTCCTGGACTGGTAATCTTGGGTTCTATGAGAAAGTAGGTTGAGCATGCCATAGGGTAAAAGCCAGTAAGCAGCACCCTTCCACAGCCTGTGAATCGGCTCCTGCCTTCAGGTTCCTGCCCTGTTTCTGCTATGGAAATGTAAGTCAAATAAAGCTTTCCTCCCTCCTCAGCTTGCTTTTTGGTCACTGTGTATCACTACAGCACCAGAAACCCTAACAAAGACAATGAGCAAAACAAGGATCTGAAAACACAACTGGATTTGTCAATGTGGTATATGGAAATGTGTCATAGAACTGAGATAACAGAGATCAATGATGGTTCATGTAAAATGCTCTAATTCCCCAGGTGAATAACAAAAACCAGATTAAAGCATCCACAGTAATAGTGCTTTTAAAAGCTCAGCAATGTTGGCCAGTTTTTTGGTTGAGATTTTACACAGGGTTTCACCATGTTTCTTAGGTTAGCCTCAAATTCATATCCTCCTGCTTGCTAGATTACATGTATATCCCATCTTGACTTTCAAGAGTGTTACTTTTGTTTATTTATCTTAAATTTTATTTTATAATATTGGGATCTGACTGAGGGCCTCACACTGAGGTGCATTTTGGGCCCCAGAATGTTCTCAAAGGAGCATTTCTTAAGACCTCTATGAGCTATCCAAACTCAAGTGTATTTTCACAAAGCTCCTAGTAACCCACAATATTCCTAGTGGTTCCTGTTTTATCACTGGGGCTTGACTAGAGTCCCTAGATGAGAAAATTTGTGTATTATTATTAATTGCCATTAAAATTTATATTCTATAATTCAATGAAGGAGGGATCTGGAGAGATGGCTCAGTGGTGAAGAAAGCACATTGTTCTTATATAAAACTGAAGCTTCAATCCCATCACTCACAGCAAAAGGTTCACTACTACCTGCAACTCTCTCTCTCTCCTGATGGAGGGACCTGCTGCCCTCTTCTGTCCACTGTGAGCATATCATGCATGTAGTGCACATATATTCATACAGATACTCACATTTAATAAGGGACAAGAAATACTTAATGCACATATAAAACTTACGGAACTTTGAAATGACTGACAGTAAGATTCAGGAAAACTTTAGTCAAGTTAAAATTGCTTTTTCATGTGAAAAACTAATAATCACATTACCCACGTCTCGCGTCTTATAGCCTGGCAAGTTCACTACAATCAGTCTTTCCCTCAAACCATTACTTTGCTATCATATTAAAAGAGGAACAGTGACTACTTAAAAGATAAAAAAAAGAGGAAATATTTAGGAAATCTGCTTTTTGTGCATATATGTTCAATTCTGGATCTCCGGATCCCTATATAGGTACCTAGTGCTGGAAGCTCTCATGTATGCTACAATCCTGTATTCCTTCACCCTTCTTCATGACAATAAAATTATCTCTTGAGGGAGGGTAAGAATAAAGTGTGGTGATACACGCAAGCCATTATCCGTGGTGAATGGCATACATTAAGGATTCACTTTCAATGTTTTGAGTTTATTAAAGAACCCCATTAGACACCACTCTAATAAGTGGCAGTGTCACGTGCTGGGTAAAACTGATGCCAGTGATTTAGGGCAGAGCACACCTGTACTTCTTCCGGACATCCACTGTCCACCCAGTCCTGCCGGTGGCGGTCGAATCCACTGGAGCATCTTCAAAGATCCATTGTAGTTGGAGAGAGGTAGCATAGCATGTTGGGAAGGGAACAGAAAGAAAAAGACTGGTAAATAGACAGTTCTCAGATTTCCAGATAAGCATACCATTCACCGAGTGACTTCACTCACTCAATCCCTGCTCCAGTGTCAGCATCTCACAGAGCAAGGCATCACTCTCAACTCTTCCCACACTACACAACGCTGATGTAACCCTAAGCAAAATAAACAAATCGCTATTACATAATGTTGGATTTCTTTCCCTCGTTTTCGTAGTTATTCACTAAAATAAATGCATAGAAATCATTTGTAGTCATCATTTTAAAAATATTTCTTATTCATTTATTTATGTATCCCCATCTCATAAACACTCGATTGTGTAGTAAACTCAAAGGTTTGAAGTCTTCAAACAGCTTCCATGGGATAACCTTTAAACTAATGATTCTCAACCATCCTAATGTTGCAACCCTTTAATACAGTTCCTCGTGTCATGGTGACCCCCAATCATAAAATTATTTCCATAGCTACTTCATAACTGTAATTTAGCTATGGTTATGGGTCTTAATGTAAATATCTTGTATGCAGGATATCTAATAATGCTACTTTTGTAAAGGGCCATTTGGCCACAAAGGGGTTGTAAGTCACAGTTTGAGAACCAACACATTAATCCCTGGTATAACCTGCTCGATTAAAAGGTGATCTTAATTCTTGGGCTGTACAAGAGAGACTATGCTGATAATGCGACATGTTGGGAATGTCAGAGTTTGTTCCAGGATCGATTCCTGGTCTGTTCTGAATAGGTTGAGTTCTGGAGACCTTGATTGAGCCTGAGATATAAATGAGATTTAAGGCAGCCATATTTGTCCCTGCCGGACTGATCCTCAAGGCAAACCCTAGACATCAAAGCAGGGCGAGCTTCTTGTGTTGCTGCCAAAAGAACAGTTGGAAGCTACTCTAGTCTTACAAGGTCTGCTGGGCTATGTCCTATGAATCTTTTCCCAATCCTACTTTTAATTCATTTTCTTTCCCTGTAATAAGTGGCAACCTTGAGCATAACAACTTTTCTGTGCCATGTAAGTCTCTCCAGTGATCTTGAGTGTGTTTGGGGAAAATGTACAGCTATGCATGATTAGGTCACTCCAAAGATGTCTGATTTGGCATGTATCACGTCAATAAAATCGTGTTCAGAGTCTTTCCCTCAATGGGAATACTTTTCTGTCTGTTTTATCTGGCCATTACAGCACATTCGTTGTCAAGACCCAGCAGTTTCAACCTAGAGCAGGACCCAAAGAAGCTTCGTAAAGTGCTGTGACCAACTGTTTTACTCTTCTTCTTTCTTCCCTCATAAAACAGTTCATTTACCTTTACCTTTTTAAATAATAATTTTGGTGTGTCTGTGTTGTGTGTGTGTGTGTGTCTGTGTGGTATATATGTGTAGTATGTGTCTATGCGTGCTTGTGGGTGTGCAGGCCTGGGACACACAGGGGCTAGAGGAGGATGACAGGTGTCCTGTTCTGTCATTCAAACAAACTTTCTCACTGAACCTGTAATGAAGCTGGTGGCCATCAGCCCCCAGAAATCTGTAGAGGTAGCTCCCACCTCCCAAGGCACTAAGGTTACAGGTGCATAAGTGACTCCACTCAGTTTTTGTTAATAATTTGGGGGATTTGAACTCAGAGGCTTAAAACTGTATAACAGCGTTCTTACCACTGATTCATCAACCCAGTTCCCAGTTACTCATGACTTAATGGCTAAATTTGATTGAGATCATTTTAAATTGAAGTCAGACTATCATACTGATTATATCTAATATAGCTGACTCTTAAAATCTTTTTGCATAGAAATTTAAATTAGTTTTGTCAGTCTATTAGTATTAAGGATATTTATACTTCCCTTAATTTTAATAATTGAATATATATTTATAGTTAATAATGTGGTGCTGTATTTTAATCTAAATGGAATTTATTTACTTAGCAAAATAAATGTCATCCAATTCTTACTTAATATTTATTATGGTTTTAATTTGCAACTGTTCTTTTGGTCTTTGTTTTGAAATGAGTTCACATCACGGCTTTTTCTAAGAATCCTCACCAGAGACAAAGTTCTGCCCGAGAGAGCATAATTCAATTCAATGGAATGTGAAAACAACCTTCCTGTCAGCAAGACAGACCATATTTATCATTCTCTCCAGACTGACCCATTGAAAGATCAACCCATTGGATTCTGTGTTATACCAAACACCTGCACTGAACAAGCTCAAGGGTGGCATAAAGGTCCATGTGAGTGTTGGCATCCTGATGCTGCGGATCTTTATCTGGCTGTAGCTTTTTTTTCCTTTTTTGTTTTGAGCTCCACCTTTTCCTCTGCTCACCTCCCTACCTCTCCCCTCCCCTTCAACACTCTCCTAAGGTCCCCATGCTCCCAGTTTAATCAGGAGATCTTGTCTTTTTCTACTTCCCATGTAGATTAAATCTATGTATGTCTCTCTTAGGGTCCTTGCTGTTGTCTAGGTTCTCTGGGATTGTGATTCATGGGCTGCTTTCCTTTGCTTTATGTTGCTGTTGCTCAGTGACACTGTGGGATGTGGTGCTTATTTATTTCTGGGCTAGTGAGATGGCTGCTGTACCTTCTTCTTATCTGTCACCTGTTTAAATATTAAAGAATGTGTTGATACTTACTTTTGGAAGCTGTGAATATAGCAATTTTTTTGAAAAAAGAAAAAGTCCTTAAGAGTTGTTTGATCACTAGTAATTACAGATAATTTTAAAATGTAGTTTGTTTTAATATACTCTTACTTAAAAGTTTCACTTGGATATACTAATTTAACTTATAATAAACTTGTACCAAATCTTAACTTAGAAAAATTAGTCATTTAATTTGCTAAATTTACCAGGGAAAAAAATCAGAACACACAGTTTCCTTGATTTATTAAACAATCCTCAAGTTATAGTGTGTGAAATTAAGTTCTGTGTGAAGTCAATTAAGTAACTCACTTTTGTTTATTTATTCACAGTTCATTTCCTAATAATTTTTCTATAGTTTATGAAAATTGGGAAGGACTGAGGATTGCTTTGGAAATGGCCAAAACTAGGACCAGGTGGGTTGCTCAATGAGGTAAGGGCTTTCCAATCAAGTGTGAAGATCTGAGTTAAGGTACCCAGCACTTAGGAAACAGTGGGTCATGTATGCTGGGTCCCCAGTCACAGTGCCAGGAAAGTACAGATTGGGTTAGATTGGTCCATGGACAGCTGGAGAAAACATGTTGAAAATGAAGGATATGAGCTAGACTTCAATTTAGCAACATTTTTGTTGCTTTTAAATGCTCGATTATATTGTGACAAATTGGAATTCAATTTCCTTCAGTTTTCTGTATTGCTGTGTGTCCACTCAAAAGATATTACTTCAGTACTAAAAACATTTCCCTGATGCTTGATGGCTGGCTTGTCTAGCTGAATCTGCTAGGCTATGATTCAGATAGGAAAAGAGTGATTAAGGAAGACATTCAACACTGACCTCTGGTATCTGCATTCATGTGTGCAATCAGGTGCACATGTGCCTGCATGCACATGATACATATGTACCTACAGACATACCTACATGGAAACTGGTAAGACTGGGGTCTTTTTTTCTGATTTTATTTTATATTTACTGATCTAAATAGTATCCAACAGCAATCGGTACATGTATGCTATGTAAATTTAAATGATTTCTAAACTGTATGAAAATAAAAGGAAAGCTCTCTGGGGAAGACTTTCCCGTCTCCATTGAGATACTTTTTAGCCTTCTCTGTCTCCTCAACACAGTCCTACAAAGAATGACCCTGACCATGGCGTATCTTCTTAATATGTAGATTTTCCAACATTTTAACAGTGTTAATCTGCAATGCCTGCAAACTGAGTGAACTGAGCAAGATTCTCTGGCAACTGGAACTCAGTGGTTTCCACTGTAAGCAAGCATTTCCCTTCGTTACTCTTTTCATACAGACATTCAGAAATTACTGTTTTCCTGTAGGCTGTGACCAGGACCAATTATCACTTCTCCAGTCCACCTATTGCAACCCACCCTTGTTTGTGCTCATCACAGCCAACAGAAGCAAACGGTTCTATGTTCTTTCACACTGCAGAAGTCTGGAATACCCAATTAGTCAATCCAAAATGCAAGCCTTCTCTCCGCTCAGAGAGATATCCTTCTCCCATCGATATTGTCAGCACATCCTGCTCCGAGGGCCTCAATACCGAGTACAAGTATCAATGTTACAATTGGCTGTGCTCAAGTTGATCATGCCAGGCTTTCATGAAAGCATGATTCAAAGTAAGGTGTTTGAATTAGAACTTTTCTAAGGTATGTTTTCCTCTCTATTCTTATCAGATTTGTCTGTGTGTGTGTGCAGGCAGGCATGACTGTGCATGCACATTTGGCGAATGTATGTGCCTGTGGAGGTCAGAGTTATTAAATCCCCCTGGAGCTGAAGCTGGAATTGCAAACGATCCTGAGCTTCCTGGCTGAGATGCTGGGAACAGAACTTGGATTCTCCCTAGAGCAGCAAGCACTCTTAACCACTGAGCCATTTCACCACCCCACAATTTCCCTTACTTAACAACAACAACAAAAAGATTCTATTGTATTGTGACAACTGGAATTTGTTTTTTTTTCTTTCAATTGTTAGCTTTGTCTGCTGCATTTCCACTACCAAGATATTACATAGGTAGCAAAGATAAGTGAGATATTCCACATTGCAATGGTAAAGCAGGCATTCACACACACACACACACACACACACACACACACACTTATATATTTATTTGAAGTAAAGTGATATCACAATATGGGTTAATTCGGTTAAATTCATTAACATATTTATCTATCACCTCAAATAGTTTAATTTTAGACTGAAAAATTTGAAATTTTATCTTTTCTAATGATTTAAAAATTATGCAATAGCCTATTAACTTTAGTAGTAGCTTATACAACACACACCCCAGTATTGTCTTCCCATCTGA